CTCCTTTATGCAATCTCAAGTGTTTTTTCTTGGATTTGTTATTTCTGAGCAAGGTATTGCAGTTGACTCAGAGAAAATTAGTGCTATTAGGAATTGGTCAGAACCAAGAACAGTTTTTGAAGTTCGAAGCTTTCATGGCTTGGCCACCTTCTATAGACGTTTTATTAAGGGGTTTTGTTCCATTATGGCTCCCATCACAGAGTGCATGAAAAAAAGGGAGTTTCAATGGACTCTTGCTAAAACTAGAGTCTTTCAAGAAATTAAGCACAAGATGACAGAGGCACCCGTCCTTCGACACTTAGATTTTTCTAAGGTGTTTGAGGTCGCCTGTGATGCATCTGGTGTAGGGATAGGTGGAGTTTTGAGTCAAGAAAGTCATCCTATTGCTTACTTCAGCGAAAAACTCAATGACGCTAAACAACGATATTCTACATATGACAAAGAGTTCTACGCTGTTGTACAAGCTCTCCGCCATTGGAGGTATTATATATAGCTAACTGAGTTTGTGTTATATTCTGATCACCAGGCATTTAAATACCTTCATTCTCAGAGAAAATTGAGTGTTAGGCATGTTCGGTGGGTTGAGTTCCTTCAGGAGTATACTTTCGTTCTTCACCACCGAGCGAGTATTGAAAACAAGCCTGCGGATGCTCTTAGCCGTGTAGTTGTTGTTTTACAAACTATGAGTGTCCATGTGATTGGCTTTGACCGGATTAGAGATGAGTATGTCTCTTGTCCTGACTTTAGTATCATTTGTCAGGATGTTTAGTCTGGTAACCGTCATGAGTACATTGACTTCCTCTTTAGAGATGGGTACTTGTTTAGAGGGTCGCGCTTATGTATTTCCCGTAGTTCACTTATGGATTTCTTGATTTGGGAATTACATACGGGAGGTCTGGCAGGCCACTTTGGTAGGGATAAGACATTTGCAGTTATTGAGGATAGGTTTTATTGGCCCTCTTTAAGGCGTGACATTATTAGGATAGTGTCACAGTGTTGCATTTGTCAGTTAACAAAGGCTAGGAAACAAAACGCTGGTTTGTACACACCATTACCAGTTCCACACACACCATGGAGAGACCTTAGTATGGATTTTGTCTTAGGATTGCCTAAAACAGCTCGTAGTCATGATTCCATTTTAGTTGTCGTGGACCGGTTTTCTAAGATGGCCCATTTCATTCCTTGCACTTAGTCTACTGATGTCTCACATGTAGTAAAGTTATTTTTTAGAGAGGTCGTCCGACTACATGGGTTGCCTATTTCCATTGTGTCTGATAGGGATGTCAAATTTGTGAGTTATTTTTGGAAGACACTTTGAAAACTCTTTGGAACTAATCTAAAGTTTTCCTCTGCCTTTCATCCCCAAACTGATGGTCAAACTGAGGTTATTAATCGTAGCTTAGGAGATTTGCTTAGGTGTCTAGTGGGTGATAAGATAGGAAATTGAGATTTGTTGTTGCCTATTGCTGAATTTGCCTAAAACAACTCCGTCAGCAGGTCGACTGGTAGATCCCCTTTTGAGATTGTTTATGGCCATTTCCGTTGACAACCTATTGACTTATTACTTTTACTTCCTGATTCCCGTCCTTCGCACTCAGCCGAAGCTTTTGCCCAGCATATTCATGACTTGCATGCCAACATAAGACAGAAAATTACATTAAGTAATGAGAATTATAAATTGGCTGCAGATGTTCAACATAGGAATAAAGACTTTATTGCGGGAGATTATGTCATGGTTCGTATGCATCCTGAACGTTACCTTAAAAATTCTTTTAAAAAGTTACATGCTCGAGCCACTGGCCGTTTTCGTATTCTTCGTAAGCTTGACCCTAGTGCATATCACCTTAACTTACCTTTGAATATGAGTATTAGTCCTATTTTCAATGTGGAGGACTTGTTTCCTTATCATGGTACTTTTGAACCTCCTATGTTGCCGGCAGGTGTTCCTACAGGTGGAGTTGCTTTGTCATCAACATCACCTACAGTTCCTATTCTTCCACCGTTTCCACCATAGCTGCATGACCAGATAGCAGATGTATTTGACAATCAGATTGTGGGCTCCTCGGATGGAGGATATCGTCGTTATCTTGTTCGGTGGAGAGATCGTCCAGAGACTAATGATTCATGGATTACTGAGGAGGAGTTTCGTCAGCTTGACCCTAATCTTCTTGAGCATTATCATGATCGTATCTCTCCAGAGGCGAGTTCTTTTCAACCGGGGGGAATAATAGGAATCGGATTATATTTTGTTATAGTAGGCGTAGATGTAGGGATTATGAATTATTTGTCATTTTGTTTTTCAGGGACTTAGTTGTCATTATGACTATTTATTTCTTTTAGAGTTCTTTTAGGATTTGTGTTCCCCTATATATATAGGGGATATGATATTTGTTTTGGGAGACTTGATTATTGATTATTAATATTGAATCTTGATATTGCTTCTTCCCATCTCTCTATTCTCATCCCCTTCTTCTTCTTTTTTCATCCCTTTCTTCTTCTCTTCTCATCCCTAATTCTTCCCTAATACGATCTACATCACAATTGGTTTGGTGCATGTGGTTTTTGAAAACCTTTTAGTGTAAGGACTCAAGAAACAACAATTAAATAGCAAATGGAATCAAGTAAATTGTGAATTACCCTAATGGCCCATACATATCTTGGTTTATATTTTATTCTTGTTTCATTGTTGTTTTTATTTTTGATTAGAAGAGTTCCTCTCTTGCTTATTTATGTTATCTATGCATTTATCCATGGTGACTGTTTTGCTTATCGGGTTAGGCCACTGAGATTGTTCTTTCTCTCCATGATTTTACATTCTCTATCTGCAGATTTCCTTATATTGTTCTTCACGGAGGCTCTTTTTTACTGTGGAGTTGCGGTGTTTCTTCTACTAGTAGACCATTTACGAAAGCCCATTGAGCCAGTTTCTGCTGTGAATAACAGAGTCCTTGCTTCTCAACTGGGGCACCGAATTTCTTCTGTTGCTGTTTTAGTTCTTAGTCTCATAATTCCTATGGTGACAATGGGTTTCGTGTGGCCATGGACTGGCCCTGCAGCTTCTGCTACCCTGGCACCCTACCTTGTTGGTATCGTTGTGCAGTTTGCATTTGAACAGTACGCGAGATATATAAAGTCACCGTCATGGCCAGTCATTCCCATTATCTTTCAAGTAAGGATAATAATCACTTAGTGTAGTTGACTTTTTTAAACATTTTTGTTTGGATGGAGATTGGTGAAAAACTGAATTTTATCATAGTGTTTGTGTAGATTTTATTGTTCCTAGCAACAAAACAAACTTTTGTCCCAATTCTTTGGGATTGGCCACAGGAATCCTTTTTCATATTCTGCCCTGTCAAGGGCTTCATGTTCTGTTATATATGAGCAATCATATTTTTCTCACTAACTCCTTCAGGTTTATTTGGTCTTCCCCTTCCATTTGCATTTTTACTACCTTAGTCAATGTTGCTTTTGTGGTCTTGTTTTCCTTTATTCATACCACAATGAGTGTTTCTCAATAATGAGTAAATGATTATATGCCTAGTTCACTCAATATATTTGGGCCTGGTAAATGCATCTTATATTGGACATTCTAAACGTAGTTTACTCTACATATTTGGGCCAGATAAATACATCTTTTTTCACTATGGCTAAAAGGTCCAAGTTGCTTGTAGTTGTAACAGAGTGAATGACTCGATAGATTTTCTCTTAATTTTGTTGTTTATCTTTGAGTTCTGACCTCTGGCTGTCTTTTATGATTTGTTTTGATAAATCTCTCCATACTTTAGTTATGTTTCTAAAACTAATTTTGATAACAAATTCCACTCCAAGAGGCGAGAACGTTGAAGGTTGTTTGTGAATTAAAGAAGCCTTTTTTCATTTAATTATTTGGGGTGTTTCTACAGGTTTATAGATTGCACCAATTGAATAGGGCAGCACAACTGGTGACAGCTCTGTCATTCACTGTGAGAGGAGCTGAGATGACATCACACAACCTGGCAATAAATAGCTCGTTGGGTACTCTTTTGAATGTACTTCAATTCCTTGGGGTGATTTGCATCTGGTCGCTGTCAAGCTTCATCATGAGATTTATCTCTTCTGTCCCTACGACTGAATAATAAGATGCAAATTTTTGGATCCACATTGGTCTAGTTATTATCTCATTCCGTGGAAAGGAACACTACACAAAATCATATAAATTTGGTTGGTGCGGTTATTAATTGTTGGCTGAATTGTGCTCTGGAGGTTATTTTGTGGTTGGCTTTGTTTTGCTCTGAGGGGTAATATTTAACTTAATCATTCGTCAGTTTTTGAGGATATCAAAAGTTCATGGCGCTCTATCAATGAAGATGGAAACGAAATAACAGCCGGTATTGGAGAAGGTTGCTGCACTGCTTGTTCTTTGCATTTGTGTTTAAGGGGCCTAACTGCTGATTTTGTGATAGCAGTGGTCGACATCATTCAGTTAATCAAGATGAAATTTTCTTGTATAGTGTTTACTTTTTTTATTGTTATCAGGAGAAATGTGTTTTGAAAGCAGTGTAGATTGAATACCCATAGAATCTGCTGAAAATTCAGCATTCTTGCTACTTATATTGCTCAGTTTTCTTGTCTATGATATGCTGACAACAATTTTCTTGTCTTAGTTATCATTGTTAACCCCTTCTTTTCTCTGCTTGAAAAACGTCATCTTCAGGTCTTGCTTGGATGCTAACTCTGTATGGAGTGACGAAGGTTAACATGGTTGACAGGCAGCTCTAAATGGTCGTCTTGTTTAATAAGGTCAGATATTTTTGTTGTCAGCTCTAAATATTTAATGAGTATCTTACCACAAATATTGAATAGCACATATTATAGTAAAAATTCTTGCAACACAGGCCTCTTTATACCATTTTCTCTCTTGGACTTGCTAGTAAGTTGCTTGTCCACTATGTCATGTTCTAAGCTCTGATCTGATCTACTCAACAAACATTATTCCTATTTTGAGTTTGTGAAAGGAATCCTCTTGCCAGTCTGCTTTATATGTGCTATGTTCCTTTTCATAGTCTCCTGATCACGCATTGAGGGAAGACTCTCTGATAGTAAACACAACCCAATACAGTAGGAGGTTTTACAGGGGTGTGATTTTGCAGTTATTAATCAATCCAATAGCACTCAAATAAACGTGTACTCAAATGTGGCTTGTTTATCTATTTATTAAGTTTGCCCATCTGTTGACAAACACAAGAATCATGAGCTTGATTCCAGTTGTTTATTTGAGCTCGGGCACGGCTGGGACAAAAACCAGCCTAAATTTTTGTATTAAATTCGGCTTGTTTTCAAATATGAATGGGCTTGAACAAGTCCAACATGAGTCGAGCCCAAACCAAACCCGTGTTACTCCATTTAACAACCCTCGTCATGGGGAAAAAAAGATGTTTTATGTCTGCTATCCCTTTGACAAAATTAGGTCTGCGAAGATTAGCAGTTTGAGGTGTTCTTACGGATGAACCAAAACTCATGTTCCATTACTTTGAGTGATATGTTGGTAAATTTTCAAGGTAAGCATGAATAGCTATTACCCAGTAACACCTTTAGTTTGTATTGACACCATGAGACGCCGAGGTCTCACGAGTCTTCCTGTGAGTTAGCTAGTATGATTGCTCAGTTGTAACTCTTGTCATTCAGATGGTGTAGGTCTGGCCGGGAAACTTGTGGACAATTGCTAGAAAAAAATATGAAGGTTAAGCTTCAAGCTTAATACAAATGAATTGGGAATTTGGGATCCTCAACATTTGGATTGTTATTCAGAGGATGATTTTTTTTGTTCAAAACAACTATTTTACGAGAATCACGCCGCCTAGACTCCAATGCATTGCTATGGGGGCACATAAAACTCTGAGGCAGAGTGCAGTTGATGCAGCTGAATCTTGGTCGCTCGATTCTCATTTATTGTTTCTGTTTTGTGCCAAAATCCACCAGTTGATTTTCAGTCTAAATTCAGAGAATTCAGGTGTAAAAATGAGGGATTAGTGCTGCAAGGGAAGAAAGCTTCTAATTAGGTTGTCTTAGACTGTTTTCTTAGATTGTGCATTCAAAACAATGTTACCTGGATTGTGGGTCGCTTTGGTACATGGTACACACTTTCTTAGGTACGCGGTACGATGGGGGTATATTTAGCTGGTACGGTATTTTGGGTCGCAATTTGTTCTGAAATTCTTATGTAGATCGTTTTCACTACATACAACGTTATATATTATAGAATATTCATAAACACTAAGTTACTATTTATCTTATAATTGTTCTTTATTTTCTATTATCTAAAATAATATATAACTATAAATCTATATACATATAATCAATTAATATGTATTTTATATTTGTGCAACATGTTTTAAAGCGAATTGATTTAGGGTTAGTATTACAATTTGAAGTCGTCCATTTTGGTGATTTGGATTGTGAACCCACTTCATTTGAGATCGATGTACCCAGATCGTGGGTCATTAAGGGTTTAGTGAATTGTGGTAACCATAATCCAAAACTACGGTTTGAGTCAGAGGAATTGCATATCCATATGCGGGGTTAGCCTGCATATATGTGGCCTTTTCAGATTTTTTAGTGGCTAGTAGCTACTTCCCTTTTTATGTATCACCTTTATTTTTTATTGTTTTATGGAAAACTTGAAATTGTATAGAAATTATTCTACTAAAAGAAGGAATTATTTTGGTTGTTCTTTTCCTATAAAGATCGTTTGTCATTCCATCGTTACAAATATTATACAATATGGTAATCATTTTAAATTCCCCAATAATGTACCTTCTCCTTTGGATTTATATCATATAATTAATTTCGTTGGTTGCTTTGACTGTATTTTCTTCTCATTCCATTTTAAATTCCAGAGTTGGTGTTATCTTGGTTGGACTTTCAGTTTGTTGTACTTCAAGTGGAAGATTAGACAAAATGCTTAGATTAGGTAGAAGACAGATAATTCCCCAGAGAATGACCCATATGTCTTAAGCAGGTTGGATGAAAATCAGTTTTGTTTAGAAAATGAAATATTACTGCCTACAGTGTGACTTTCATAGAGTGCAGAAACAGATGGATAGGTGGTTCCAATGAGTAGGGTTGGCAATGAGTCATATCTAGCTATCTCGGATTTGTGTCATATTTAAGTTGTGCCATATCAAAATTAGTTTAACCAAAATTTGATCCATTTATAATCATGTATGCCAAAGTTAGTATCGTGTCGGATTCGTGACGTATATAAGTTGTGTTCGATGGGTTCGTATTGTGTTGACTTGGATTTGTATCAATTAATTCATTCAATGAGTTTATCGGGCCCACTCATGTACCACCCTAACTTACTAGGGCTAAATCCAAAGTTGTTAGTTTTGACTGGTTCTTGAGTCGTGTTCAGAATTATCATGCCTACCAACAAGTGTATACAAGAGAAGATGGACATGCCTTGAATTTTTCATCATGAATATTCTCTTTTATGGGGGTATTTGTCACATATTGCATGTGGAGAGAGAGAGAGAGAGAGGAGGAGGAGGAAAAAGTGATCAAGTAGTAGGGTAATAGTGGTCCAGCAAGGTACATCTTGCTTCTTTGTCTGGGGATTTTCAAGTGACTAACTTTGTTGTATTTTCATCCAGATTGATTGCCTCTGCATAAATCCTGAAAAACTAAGCAAAGATGAGAGATACAAAAGCCTACCAGTGAAAGCTAAGCAGATTCATTTTCTCTATCAGTTGATTTTCACTAGTGAACTTTGTCATCATTTGTTTAGCAGGACGCCTCCTATATGCAATGAGCCACGATACATTCTCTCTCTCTCTCTCTCTCACACACACACACACCCACACACAAACTTTAACAGGCCCAGTTAGCAATTGCAACAACTTTGGTTAGATAACACCAAACCTCACATGGTCTTGGTTCTATCCGGAGTTTCAGCAAGATAAATGAAGCTGGTCTCTACAGTGAAATGCAAGAAATGTGGTAGTTTAGTTCTCTCTCTCTCTCTCTCTCTCTCTCTCTCTCACACACACACACACACACACACACACACACACTTTAATAGGCCCAGTTAGCAATTGAAACAGCTTTGGTTAGATAACACCAAACCTCACATGGTCTTTGGTTCTATCCGGAGTTTCAGCAAGATAAATGAAGCTGGTCTCTACAATGAAATGCAAGAAATGTAGTAGTTTAGGTCTTCTGTTTTCTTATTGTATTCAATTTGGTATTAGGTTGGATTTGGTTGATAATAGAGGAGATTTCATGTGTGAACTCGCAGCCCTGTTGGGATGTCAATTCAGAACAAGTTAAATTAGTGTTACTTATTACCTTGGGGTTTTATGGTTCTTTCAACGAGGATATGTTAAAAAAAAACGAGGATATGTACCTGCAAAAGTCATGTCATGCTTATGCACTGAGCCTGTCAGTGGGTTTTGTTGTATCATGTTTTTAAACCATTTAATTGTGTCATATCTAAATTTGTTCAATTCTTATACGATCCGTTATAGTCACTTTCGTGTTATGTCGGACTAACTGAGTTCATGTCGTGTTTTGCTGCATTTGTGTGACTTATTTCTTTGACGAGTTGGTAGTGTGTCTATTTATCACCTAACCCTGCTCAGGCTAAACCCAACTCGTTAATTTTGTGTCGATTTCATGTCAGCCTGTGTATCGTGTCATACTATACACACCCACACTCGGTGACAACTAAAAAACCCAGTTATAGTTCATTTTCCTTCAAGAAATGCATTCCATTGCTATGAGGATTGACAAATTATCATCCTTGATGCTGCTGTGGTGCACCTATAACATCAATAACACAATGGGTTTATACCTGTTTAATTGACAATTGCTGAAGTTTATTTGACATAATATCTCAGAAGTCAAATCCCATATAATGCTTTGATAGATTCCAATGGATCTTCAAAGTTCTTGTTGAAATAAAACAGAAATATAGCGGGGGTCCAACTAAATATGACACCGAGTAGAGCCCTAGAGACAGGTCCACTTCTTTTTTATATGAGGCATAAGTGGGTCGCTCTACATAGCTTCTTTCTCCTTGTTTCCGGGGTAGCCATCAAGCCATCTTATCTTCATATACTTTACATCCCAAAAAGCTACTAACACATGCTCCCCCAGTTCTATGATTGTCTTCAGAAAGAAAGAAAACATGAAAAAATACCTTACCTTTTTGCCAAAAAAAAAGGAAAAAGTCAAAATTAGAGAGGAGTCAAATCCTATTACGCGAGGGTTTCGTCATTTTTGATTGTGCAGAGAGAGAGAGAGAGAGTGCGTTAGATATACTCAATCTCATCTTTTGTGGTGATTCGAACCGTAACGTTTTAAGCACAATTGAGCAACCCTCGCGTAATATAATTCCTTGTTAAAGTAAAACCACTTTTCATGCTCAAACCTTTCATTTTAACAATTGTTATTAACTTTCTTGATGAGATGATTTTACAGGCCTACTTTGATAAAACTATGTGTGTATAT